AGAGCGATAATTCTGTGCAGTTTTTAAATTTAACGTTTCTCTTGGATACTAGACGTTTGTTGAGAGAACGCAACGGGAAGTTGGTTAATTTATTTATCAGGCTAATAAATATTTTTATTAAGGGATATTGCTTATTTCATTGAAATTTTTTTATATGTAACACAGTTTTATTGAAATTTGTGCTTTGGGGAGTGGGGGTATAATTGTTCTGCAGAGTAAAATTCTGTGCAGTTTTTAAATTTAATATTTGGTATTATCGGTACGTTTAAAAGCCAGACGAAGGTATTTTCGGTATTTCGAAAGGCCTTTAGGTATTTTCGGTACGTTTAAAAGCCAGAGGAATGTTGGCCGCGTAACGACTAGTAGATAATAAAACAAATTCCAAATTTCGTTTCCAGATGCCCATATTCCAGTGGAGGACTAACGTTATTTAAAATTTGATGTCTCCAGGTACCGTTGTTTTTTCACAATGCGAGAAACATACGTACATTCATGTAGATTCTTCACTATTTAATTTCTTTAAATATAATGCAGGGCCTCTAATATTTGGTGGCTACAATCTGAAATAGAACTTTATAGTTATTAGACTCTACAGTTATAGGATTTTATAGTTATTATATTATAGGACTTTTATAGTTAACCAACGCAAAATGTCAAAACGAAATTGATAGCCTTTCTGAGCTAACGTTCCTTTGGGCTAATAATACAAAACGCAGATAATACATGGTGGCAACAATTTGAAAAAATGAATAACTGTTTATATAATGGATGATGCAAAATCCCGTTTCGAGACTAATAACTCCAATGAGCTAACGCCCTTTTGGATTAGAAATCGTAAAAAATTAGTATACAGAATTTTTTTTAATGTATAAATGATCGGTTTCCCCCTCTTTACGCAATCAAGTCTCTTTTTGTGCAATTTATTTTTATTCGGCTTTAAATTTATGCGATACGATACATATTTCAATTTTTTTTCTGAGATTCCCCGTTGTTATATGTGTGTACTCTAAATCCAGAAAATTAAACTCTTGGGAAGTCCAGCTTCGACTCATTCAGTTACCTCATCTCGAGGTTTGTCATCGATCAATTTCTGTTAATTTGGAGAGAAATTTTACATTATTTGTCTTTGATTGGTAAGGTTCGATGTGAAATTTAGTTCTCAAACATGAATTTATCAATATTCTGTATGGCTCTCATTTCAACTAAAACTTTAAGGGTTGTTTATATCGGATGCTAAGATATTCATCTAAACATTGACCACATTTGACATTTAATTTTCTTCTCTTTTTTACTTCCTTGTACGAAGTAAAGGAAGTATTGTAATCACGAAAAATTCCGAGTACCATATTTTAACGAAAATATCCATTTTGACCACTATCGAATGCAATTTAACGATGTTTTTGCGTGACATCTGTACGTAAGGACAGAATAAAGGACTCTTTTTCCCGAAACCCTGATTTAAAATGGATTCAGAATGAAATTATTTTCGTGGCGTCTGTACGTACGTATGTATCTCACATAACTCAAAAACGAGCAGCCTCAGAACGTTGAAATTTTGTATGTGGGACTGCTATAACATGTAGTTGCGTACCTCCCTTTTTGATAGCAATCGGTCTCACCAAAAGGATATAAACATATATATATATATACATATCCACTCTGTTACTCGGCTCAATGAGCTCATTTATTCTTTATTCTTATATGTTTGTAAATTGTGAGTTTTTTTTGCCTTAAAAATGATTGAATTGTGCTGTTCTTATCTTTCGGTTAAGGTTTTTATACCTTTTCTTAATCTGCATGTAATAGTTGTAAAATTATCAGCAATTTAAAAGCTGTTTAAGTGAGGCTAAGCCTATTGTTTTTTTAAACCATAGCAGTCATATTTGTTTCCATTTGAAACTTAGAAGCATTTCAGCACAATTTTTACAATTTTGCACTTTCAGCGTCTTTTTGCCGAGTTGGACCAAAAGGAAACTTTTAATTTTGTGCTCTAAAAAATCTGACTTCTTGCCTGCTGACCGAATTGTTTGTTTTTGCGTAGAAACTGTAATTTGAATTGGAGGAAAAAAAAAATTAAGTTGTTTTAACTGTATTTGGTGTTTTATGTTTTACTATAGCTTTCAATTTTTAATGAAAGTATTTTGAGTTTTTATGTATTTTTGCCTTGCCTCGAAGCGAGAACTGGATTAATGGAACTAGAAATACATCTCTAATGAAATTCGCGGAAATAACTTTAAATGAAATGGGAAAAAAAAAAAAAAAAATGCGTATAATTTAATATTCCATACAAGGAAGTCATGTAGAGTACACATCAGCTTTTTTATAATACATCCGTGGACTTTCACGCACTTTGAACAAGTTACATGAAATATAATAGAAGCATTATTCAGTAATTAGAACTTTAAGAATGCTGTTACGCGTCACTTGCGAAAAATGACAGTTGTCATGTATACTCAGTAACAATTCAAATAAGGCTATCCGAGAATGTGTTAAATGAATACCGGGGGGGGGGAATCTGAAAGGGTTCAGATTTTAACCGTCCGGTCTCCCAAAAGATTTGTTAAGGCTTTTTTACGTTCTTGCTGAAATGGCAGTCTACCAGTACGCTCTTAACCCATTTCTTTTTGTCTTTTTAGCATTATTATTAAACATAATTTTCTTCGCGTTGACGCCATATACAGTTCAACAACAAAATTAAAAATTTTAAAAGCAGAATATGTTTAGAATTCCCGATGCAGTATTAAATGTTGGCATACAATTTATTGTTTTATTTTTTTCAGTCTTTTCTCAGTTCATCATATCAATGTTCAGTTTTATTAGTAAGGCTTGTAAATCTTTTTTTGGTCTTTTTATTAGCGTTTAGTATGTTAAATTTATTAATTAAATGTCATGTTCCTCGCCCATACGCCACATAAAATTTAATTCTACAGTAAAATCACAAAATATTTAAAAACAGCATATCATTAGAATTTCCGACGTACAGTTTCGCACGCTGGATATAAAAATGTTTTATTCAGTACAGTTTTGCCGCTGTTCTCTTTCATATCGTTCAGCTTGCTAATCAAAAATTCATTAAAGTTTTACAAATTATGAAACATAAAATTCGAAATCCAAAATTCTGTCTTCCATCTGCGCATGTGGAGGACTACGTTAGTTCTTCAAATTTTGATAACAGTAGGTAACGTCATTTTTTCACAATGCGAGGAACATACATGCATTCATGCAAATTCTTCATTATTTAATTTTTTAAAAATAATATAGGGCGATAATATTTGATGGCAACAACTTGAAAAGTGATACAGTCATTTATAGTGGACAGCAAAATACCGTTTCGAGAGCCATTCGGGCTAAAAAACACTTTGGTATCGTTCTCATTAGTCATATATTGAGTTTATTTATATCATAACAAATATTGAAATAAAATTGAAATCATTAAATTGAAATAAAATTGAAATCATAAAATCATTTGGACAAATATTGAAATCATTAAATACCTCCATAACGATTTTAATGCAGCCCAGACAGGGAAGTGGTTAGCGATGCTGACTGCCGTATCGAAGGGTTCAGGTTCGAATCCCGGAGAAGGCATGGATGTATGTAAATGTATAGCGTCTGTGCGGTATGGGGGGCACTTAAAATATGCGGCGAGCCGAAAGTCCTTTCGACAGGTTGGTGTTAGAAGAAGAGGTTGAGAGACCCTCGGACCTGTTCCCCGTGGTGCTCTCATTCAAAATTGGGACAGCATTGAGCAAAGTCGGACTCTCACTTGCATGGTGCTCAAGGCTGTGACCAACGACAGAGCAATCTAGTACTCCTTGCCACGATAATAATTTGAGAACTTGTTCTGATTCAAACAAAGTGAGATTAGCAACGAATTTAGTGCTTCCTAAAAAAGATAACGTGAAGGAAAACTATGCAGGAGACAAAATCTATCTAAGGTATAATGTCCGATATCTATAAAAATGTCAGTTTCATTTACTCTCGAAGTGGCTTGAGTATACATGTCTTATCGAGGGTGGATAATTGCGGTGAAATTTCACACAGGAGACTATTATGATACTTTTAAGCAATAATTTACTTGGTTAAATGAAAATTGGTTGGTTAAATGAAAAAGCTTCTGTTGATGGGAAGAAATAATTTTACTGTTTAAATAAAGGATATATGAGAGCAAATACAAAACAAAAAGATTATCAAGTAAGTTTCCACAAGGAATCAAGGGAAAATTATTTTGCATATATGGAATATGTGCGTAATTTTTTTAAAAGAAAAATTCTCAAAGAACGTTACCACTTACAAACCTTAAGTCCCCACCTTTTTAAGATTTTCCTACAGCTATGTTATTGTCGGTATAGTTGAAAACGGAGGAAGATCTTAGGTTCCCTATCACTTCCAGTACTTCTCCAATTATTATTATTATTTTTTTTTTCTTTTGGATAGAGCGTAAAACTGCATAAGCAAACGAAAATAGTATTCAGGTTAAATATGAAATGGTGTGAATAAAGGATACGACAAAATAGCGTTTTACATGAAGATAAATACGTGACATATTTCCAAACGAATAATTGTATGAAATATACATACAACTATCAATTCTGAAATAAGGAAGAAATGCAACCGCATCTATATATGAATTTGCAAATTTCAGGAAAATTTGAAAATTATTTTTCTGCTAGTCTATTAATTAATTAATTCATCATCATTATTATTCATCTTTAGAAAAAGAGCAACACCAAATCATTAATTAGTAGAAAACTTTGACTACTGTTGAATCAAAGGAATTAGTTTAAATTTCACGAATCGAGTAAAATGTATTCAATATGGTCAATTCTACACTGAATTAACATAAGATGTGTCACTGTTGCGCCCCAAGTAAGAAACAAGTGAAAAAGCTCATCTTCGACCTCGAAAATAACAGCTCCACTGGCCACTGAACAGCGATTCGAATCTTCTTAAAGTGGCTAAGGGAAGCGAATGCTAGCACTAGACGGACGGAAACCGAAACTAGGCTTCTGCGTGGTCACGTGCGTTCCAGAGCCGGTTTCGCAGTTCCAAGCGGTAACCAAGTTTTTTCGCGCCGTTCGAATCACCTCAGTACATTCACAAGTGAGCTGCTTACCTGGTCACCGCCTTTGACTCGTCTGGATAGCCCCTGAAACAGTCGCCTACACAGCTTTCTGTTTACAAATATGTGACTATGAGTGTTCATATGTGACCTCGTGCTGCGATCTATAGTGCCTTTGGGACCATGCTTTCGTCGTTTACTTAGTTTTAACATCATATTATCAGCAAGCTCATGAGGAGAGAGGAATATGGTGAGTTTGAAGTCATCAGCCTTTATGTTAGACGTTTACAATATCTTAAGTCTCTAAGTTCATATGGTTAATAAATTTACTAAAAGTGAAACACTATTGATAAAACTGCGTCTCTGGTGGGAAAATAGTGATCTTTAATTTATTAATCTTTACATGTCCAACGGAAATTATTTTCGGAAAAAGGTTTTGCTGCATTGTGTTTTAAATTGAAGTTATGGTTATTTCCCATTACATTAATTTTGTTTTGATTATTGGTAAACAAGTTTAAGAAGTAGTAATAAAATGATTATTTATTTTTAGTTGGAACTCACGTAACATCTTTCCGCTTTGTGGTGAATCAACGGAACGGAAGAACATTCTGCTAATAAGTCTTGCTATTTTACAATCCTGCTCAATTTTTTTAAAAATATATACTGCATTTTGTCAAGATCTCGGAATCCTCCAATTCAAAAATATTTAAGCATTAAAAATATTTTTAAAAGCTAAAATTATTGTAAACAGTTTATTTTATATTTTCTACCATAAAAATATTTCGACTAGGAAATTAACGAAAACTGTTTTACTGGAAACGATACTTTGTGCACATTGTTTAAAACCAATAATTAAATTTAGTACCTAGATTTTCATCACGTAATTGTGATTATGAAGGAGGCAATATAAAATTCTGTAATTCTAAACAAAAGAACTTAAATTGGCTTTGTAACGATAATGATATTACATTTTTTTTTTTTTTTTGTGAATATGAATTTTAGTGTATTTTTACTGTTAACATTATTTCGCAGTTATTCCATTCGGTTTAAGCAATAAGTACTTTATTTTTCAGCCTGTTTCAATGGTTAATGTATATATATATAGGCTTTGATTTTTTTCAATCCATCCTCATATGCCTAATTTATATCTTTATGCAGATTTAACACGCGTTATAAAATTCTACATCGAGCGTTAAATATTAATTAAAGGGAAAATAATACGTATCGAAACTTTATTTAACAGCTCTCTGCAGTCACTTAAACAGTGACCAAAAATAGGAAGAAATCTTGGGGGGGGGGGAAACATGAGTTAATGACAAAAGAATAATTGATGCCGGGAAATCATAATGTACGCGACATGCTTCTAGAATGTTAAAATAGTTATTATTTACAAAATATTATCGATAATACGTTTGCAGGAATTGGAAAGTAATAAATAACTTAGTCTGCCGTACGCATTTTATGTCAGGTAGAACGGGAATGAAATCACTGTAATCGTTATCATTTCTATGGTTAGAAAATTAGCATCTTCTGCTATTAAAATAATGAAGAATACATATCTCTGTATGCATGTATATTCCTCCCATTGCGGAAAAAAAGCGGCACCTGTAGAGCCACCACATTTGAACACGCATGTTTAACATGTGCCTTAACATGGGAACCTTTAACATAGTTTAAAAGTAGGAGTTTTTAATTTCGGATTTTTTAAAAATATAATTTATTGTTTGTTAATTAACAAACACAACGTTTTAAAAGCAATGTGTTGCCATTCATTATGCGTAAGATATTTATGTTTAAAATTTAATCAGAAAACTCAGTGTTTTAAAAGAAATATGTCGTCATTCAGAAACGAGTGAGATAAATGTCTTTCAAATATCTTTAAAAAAATCTCATCTATTTAAAAGAAATGTGTTGCCCTTACAAAAAATAAAGTACTTATATCTTCCACTCGCCAGTGTGTTGCAATTCGGCAAAGTGGTATGTAATTAATTTTTCTTTCAAATTTATTGATTAACTTGATTGGAATACATTGATTAACAAGCTAAATTATTTAAAAGCAGCAAGCGCATTTCTTCGTGGCTGCGTAAGCGGCTAGTATTCTGTAAATATGACGATTACATTTATTGAAATTTTACTAAGGAAAATAAAAAATTAAATACTTCATTAACAAACTCCTCTCTTAATGTATTACGTCAAAGCACAAGACAGCTATTTGTTTCTCGGAACTAAAGACTTTTATGGAGGCCATTCTGTTTAGAATATGTTATTTTTGTCTGCTGAAACATCTCATTCGACAAGATTACTCGATTCGCCAGGACACAAAACAGTATCGAAATTACAAATATTCAATATATTTATCATTTTAATCACATGTGATGTTTTCTGATTATTTATTTGAAGAAATATTTATTATATTTTACAATTTATGTTTGTTTCATTAGTTTATCCGCAGTAATTGAAATTCATGTGAATAAAAAGCAATAAACCAGTATGCGTTATTGCCTTTTGCAAATTTCCCGAAATGATTTCTTTAAAGTTTGCTCTACTTATAAAGTTTTTGTTTTCATCAGAACCCGACTCTGGGATTATTGTTTTTAGCCAAGTACGTTTTAAACTAAGCTCGTAGAATTTATTCTGCTTGAAATTATTCCCATTCGCATTGTGTTGACTTTGAATAATTAATAATTAATTTCTACACTTAAGCGAAATATTAAAGCTAGATGTTCAGGATAGGTGGCGGTTTAATGGAAATTCGTTACATTCTACTAAATACGAGTATATATTTGCAAATCCATAAACAGTATGAAATATCTGCTTTATTAATACCGATTCGTAAGAATTGTCATGTCAGGCTGCCTAAATATGCAAGCTCTTTCCTCATAGGCCTTTTAGCGGTCGGGCGGTAAATTCGCTGAACACTGGTAAGTTGACTGGTAAATTCGCTGAACACTGGTAGATTCAAATCTAGGGGGCAAGGCCATTTGCCGAGATTGGTTATTTATTAGTTTGGTTATGGTTAGTTGTTTTATCTCTCTCCCGTACTTTTACATAGATTCAATGAATATTCCATTAATACATATATAACATGAAACCGCTTTCCGTTAAAACGTTCTTCATAAAGACATCCTTCGTCTCAGCAGATGCTTTGTGACAGTAAGACGTCTTTTATTTGAAGCAATCTTACCGAATCCACAATAAAAAGTATGTAATTTAAATGTAAAAATATTTTGTTTATTTAAATTTTAAAATATTTGTAATTACTCGAAAATAGTAAACAGATAATGAAATGACGGATTTAAAAGAGAAAAATATTTAATTAAGTACAAGTTGCAGGGACGTGCAAAGAATTGTTTCTACCATTCGTCATAGAATTAGACAATTGTTCTTTATATGTGTATAACATACATATATATAACCACATTACCAGTTATTAGTTGATACTTCTCCAGATATTTATCATAAGTTTTTGAAGTAAAACCTTTTCTGTAAATATGTTCTTTTTGATCGCGTCAGGGAGTTTTCTTCGTATTTGGAAAGTTGATATTTTAATTCTAAATTTTGTATGTTAGATTTTTCGCAATTTGAAAATAATTCATTCAGATATACGAAGAAGACGAATCACGATCATTCCCAAATTCTATGAAGTAGGACTAATTTCCATTGATAAGTCAGCCATTTTACAGGGAATTAACAACAATTTACTTAATTTTTTTATGTATATACTTTTCTATTTTTATTTTTAAACTGTTTGTTTTTGATGACTACGATTACAAATTTAAATTCCTCTACATTTATTACATATTTTTAATAGTTTTATCTCAATCTTCTTAATTAACAGTTAATAAATTTCATTTGCAATGGTTTTTGCTTTTCATTTGCAATGGTTATTTTCTAGAAGATACCATTGCAAATGAAAAGCAAAAATCATTGCAAATGAAATTTATTCATTTATTTATAAATGAAAAATTAATAATTAATATATATATAATATAGTATGTGTGTGTGAGTATGAAGTTCATGATGCAAAAGTCTGCCTTATAATTGAAACTATTCTGTAACGAAAACATTTCATGTCAATATTTTCAGCTCAGCATTAAATAACTATTTTTTTTTTCTTCAGTTCCATGTTGTTTCAATTTATGTTGCCATTTTAAAAAGAAATTATTGTGGACAAAATGCGCTAATCCGACTGAAACTGGTTCTTTATGAATACTTCGGAATTTTAATGTTAGTTTTGTAAAATTCCGACATAAAGTTTCATGCACAGGTAACAAATTTCCTTTAGAAATCTTGCACGGTTTTTGAATGCGGTACAAAAGCAGTGTTTAAACTCACCATTAACCTTCTTTATTCCATGCCACTAAAAGGCAGTCTTTCCCTCCTTCATAATAAACGGTTTTGTATGTATTAAAGGTATCGCTGTGGCAGCAATAATAGTTGTCTACCAGACAGAAGATCTGGTGATACATGTAGCAAAACCATGAATATCTTTGTTTATGAAAGAATATCTTGGATTCTCAAAGACCTTTTAAATCGAGTCAGCTATTCAGTTTAGGATTGATTTTACTTCAAATGTAAAAGATAATAATAAGAAAAAAAAATGTAACAAATTCAAAAATGATGAAAATAATAAAATTTGCTTCTAACAAGTAAGTAGAATGCTAAGTCATTATTTTTGTTTATTAAAAATGCTCAAGAAATCGCAAAAATATTGCTTTAAATTTATTCGGTGTTTCAATTTTAGATGTTTATTGACCCTTTTAAACATACTGATCATAAATGCCTGAGAGATTAGAGAGTTCATTTCACTACTCGATAAAGCTATAAAATCATTACTTTGTTTAGTATTGTGTAATATTTTGTATAGTTCTAAGTAATTTATATTATTTATATTTATTTCATTAGAATTATGTAGACTAATCTATTTAGAAATTATAATAAAATGTCGACTGTCGACGTATATTCATATATATATATATATATATATATACACCCACTTTGAAAAAAACAATGAATATGTTATATCTTGTCTACTCAGAAACCTAAATTTGAAATTGTATTAAAAGGGGAAAATGTATCGCAATTTGTGAGGAATAGAAATTGTGGAAAAATATTAATAACTTTCCCTGAAATTGTCAAAACTTCACTTTTATGCGTGTATTTCTGATTTTAATAATATAATATTCAGATTCCTTCAAAAACACAAATACAATTTGATCATTTTTTAAAGAGTAAGGAATTTACACATTT